CCCTTGGTGTAACTTTGGACAATATCACACAATGTTTTTAGGTATGCATCTGTTTTTGTTTAGTTAAGGCACTGGAGATGTATTTTCCATCTAAGAATTTGAGTCTGTCTTTACCTCTAGGAAATTATTACCTATTTGTTGAAATATTGCTTTCCAACCACGTTTGCCATACACTACTCAAATTTCTGAAAGATTTAGTTTAGAGCAATTTGTCTATCTTCCATGCTTTTTAATTTTTTATTGAGATATAATTCATAAACCAGAAACTTCACCATTTGGAGGTTTACATTTCAAAGGTTTTTACCATACTCATGTTTCACAACCATCCCCACTGTTTAATTCCCGAATATTTTATCACCCCTAAAAAGAACCCCATATTCAGGAGAAGTCACTCTCCATTCTCTTCTCTCCCCAGCCCCTCACAACCACTAACCTACTTTCTGTATCTACGGATTAGCCCATTCTGGACATTTTATGTAAATGGAAGAATACAACATGTAACCTTTTGTGCCTGGCTTCTTCTAATTAGCAAAATGTTCTCTAGGTTCATCCATGTTGTAAAATGTATCAGTACTTCAAGTCACTCTCTGATTACGTTTTTGAACAACAGCCAAACTGTGTTCTAAAGTAGTTGCACTACTTTACATTCCCACAAGCAATGTATGAGGGTGCTAATTTCACCACATCTTCACCGTCACCTGTTTTCATTTTTGTATGCCCTCCCAGTGCATGCGAAGTGGTGTATCACTGTGGTTTTCATTTGCATTTCTTTAATGATTAATGATGTTGAACATCTTTTTCATGTGTCATTTGTATATCTCCTTTGAAGAAATGTTTGTTCAAATCCTTTGGCACTTTGTAATTGGGTTGCCTTTTTATTGTTGAGTTGTAAGAATTCTTTACATATTCTGGACACAAGATCCTTATCAGATATGTGATTTGCAAATATTTTCTCTGTGGATTATCTTTCCACTTTGATAGTGTTTTCCAAAGAAGAAAAGTTTTTTATTTTAATGAAATCCAATGACCTACTTTTTCCTTAGTTGTTTGTACATTGTTATATCTAAGAAACCACTGCCAAATTCAAGGTCATGATTTACCTCTACGTATTATTCTAAGAGATTTATGATTTATGATCCTTCATTTTTTGATATGGTTCCCTCTATATGCTCTGTTTGGTGTAAAGTCCTCAGGACTATCCTGCAACATGAATTGTCTTTTCCACTGTGTTCCACCTTGAATTTATACTACCAACTGAGAACTTATTCTTTTTAAAAATTGCAATGACTATATGTTGGTTTCCTCTTTTAGGTTTCAGATTTTGAATCACTTCTTTTGCATATCTCTGCTCTTCTTGGTTTCTGTACAATTTTACTTTATTGTTTTTAGGATTATTTTTCCTCCATTTGGCTCTTTGAGTATCCTAATTACATCTTAAAGTGTTTGGCAGCCCACACCCAAAATTAACTGCTTCTGGACGAAATTCATGTTTCAATTGCCGATTTCTGTGATACACTCTGCTATCTGCTGCTGGCACCAATTCTTCCCCCTGTACCTGTGTCCCTCGCTTCTCATCTGTTCTGCTCCTCCCATGGCAAGACACACCTTCCTGCTTCTTGACCTTGCCTTTGGCCAGATCGCTTTTCACAGCTGCTGTGTCATTTTATGTTCCTAGAGCGAATACACCAGCGTTCCAATTTCTCCACACCCTCACCAATATTTGCTATTTTCTGTTTGTGTTTTATAGTAGCCATCCTAATCGGTGTGAAGTGGAATCTCATTGTGGCTTTGATCTGTGTTTCCTTAATGACTAGCATCTTTCCATATGCTTATTGGCCATGTGTAGATAGATCTTCTTTGGAGAAATGTCTATTCCAGACCTTTGGCCATTTTGGAATTGGGTTTTGTTGCTGTTTTTGTTTTGCTGCTGTTGAGCTGCCAGAGTTCTTTATATCTTTTATATATCTGGATATTAACCTCTTATCAAATATATAATTTGAAAATATTTTCTCCTATTCTGTGGGTTGCCTTTTCACTGCATTAATGTGTCTTTTGATCAACAAAAAGCTTTTAATTTTAATGAAGTCCAATTTATATATTGCTTTTATTGTTGCCTGTGACATTTTGTCTAATTTCAAGTAGAAGATATTTTGGTTTTGTGTTCTTTCTCTCTCTCTTGCCTGTCTAGAGTTTTGTAATTACTTCCACTTCCTCCCTTAAACTTCCACCTCAGAGCCTTGTAATGGCACTTTAGGACTAATGCTCTATAATCATATTGGGATATTGCAGATCCAATTCCAAAGCTAGCTTGGTCTGGCAGAAAAGGTGTCCCAGTGTCCTTCCATCTCTCCAGGCCAACAGCTTCCTAATATTATTAAGCTGTAGCTTGGAGGAAACATGTTGGCAGCAGTTGTTTTGAGCTTTCTATCTCTGCCCTGTATTCAGGTTATAGCCCTAGCTCTAATTCCCAGTGTCCCCTCAAGTACTTTTCATCCGTTTTGCTCCACAGGATTCAAGCTCCTTCCTGCCACTTTTTACTCAGGATGTGGATCACAGCACAGGGTTTCTGTAATTCTCTTTTGTTTCTGGTTCCCAGAGTTGTTTGTCTCTGGAACTAGCTTTTTTATAAATATATATTTTAGTATAATTTTACCTACCTTTGCACGTGTTTGAGCAGAGTGTTTGTCAAAAAATAATGAACTTACTGGACCATCTTGACTGGAATTCACAGCAAATGTTTTCACCTCCTAATGACTGAATTGGATCGGCCTGCAGCACAGTGATTTGGCTGCACTGGATCTAGTGATGTAAATGGTGTTGAGGAAATATAAAACCCTAAAATTTCAACTAAGTCCATTCACTGGCTGTAAAATCAAAGATTTTTGAAAGCTTCTATCTGTTGGTGGTTGTTCAGAAGAGTCATCTCTCCTATGGATGTGAGATGGTGAGGTGGAGCTGTGAGCAGGAGCCAGCATGCATGGGGAAGGTGGGGGAACATGAGCCAGAGGAGGCATCTGTGAGGCTCCTGAGGCAGGAAGGGAATTAGAGAGCTGGGCATTGCAATGAGGTGGTGAGCACATCTGCTAGTGAAAGTATGATTCCAGATCCTTCCCTACACCCCTCAGGATGTGGAGCACAGCTGACCTGCAGCTTCTGTCCTGCAGTGTCAATCCGTACACTGTGTAGTAGCAATTACACAGATTAATTATGTCTGGTGTTTTGAGAACTACCCACTTCCACCTCTGACCATCTCCCAAGTCCTGTAGGCAGAGGAGTGTGTTTTACAGCCCTTCAGGCTTTGGAGATGCTCAGAACTCAGAGCCTAAGACACTCCTTTTGGGGCCACTTTAGATGACTAAAGACAAGGTAGCTGTGATTCTGACTCAGAGGCCTTGGAAACCCAGTGGCCATCCCTGGGTCCCCAGCAGAGCAAGTGAGACCCAGGACAGCTCTGCGTATTCTTGGAGAACACCAGGATGCCCTCAGAAGTCCCACCTGACCTAGCAAGGCTATGACCTTGTCAGCAGCAAACACCATTTCTTCACACTGGAGTTGCTTGGTTTAAAGCTGATTTCCTCCAAATGCTCTGTAGTCCTAAGAGCATAGTAACATCAAGCAGAGATGAGATGGGAAGGGGCTTCCAGAGACTACCATGCAACGTCTACTCACTACTCAAAACCAAGTTAGTAGAGTTGAAGCAAATCCAGACTTTAAGATGAACCTTTTTTCTGAGGATCGTTCTCTTTTGTTTAGTCATAAACTAAATGAGAGACTGATCACTCACACACCACATACCCAGCAGAGAAACATTAATGCACATCCAGTAAGTGCCTGTCACCTTGGCAGCACTGGGGGCAGAAAGGAATAAGGCAGTCCTCATCATGGAAAAAGACACCTATCAACGGACAATGGGACTTATAAGCAAACCATTGTAATGCAATGTTAATTCTACCTAGAAGATTTTGACAGAACTCCAAAGAGAAATTAGGGAAGAAGAGAATAAGGAACATCCCAGGAAGTCACAGAGGCAAGAAAATTTCAAGGGTGACCTAACAGATGCGAAGTCCCCTTGTGTGACTTGGGTGCAGGAGCTACAGAAATTGAAATTAAAAAAGCAGACAGACGTAAGTCACATTTCATCTAAGATGCCACAAATTGTAAAATGAACTATTATTTCATGTACAACTAAGAAAAAAAAATGCTGCTAATTGAATTATGACACACCATTGATTGCAATAATCCCAATTTAAAATGTGTTAAAATGTAAGGCAATATGCCTCTCAGAATGAATGAAATATGGTAATTCCTCAAAGAAGAAATGCAAAGGTGAAGTAATACTAAAAAAAACCGTTTTTAGTAGAAAGATAAGAAATGTAGATATCATTTTGCTCTTACCACATTGGTAAAGTATTGAAAATAATGTTTAGCATTAGCAAGGAGAGCGTGAAATGGACAAACTCATGTTAAAAGCATACATTAATACTATCTTCCTGGAAATCACTTTCGTTATAATGTATCAGGAACCTAAATATGTGCTTATCCTTTGAGCCAGTAACCTCACCTAGAGGAATCTATCCTAAATCCACACTTACAGACTCAGAAGATTTATGTACAAGAATGTAAGTTCACTTATAAAAATGCAAGTTATATAAATGCTATATTATCAATAGGTATGTAAATAAACTGTGGCATAATCATAGAAATGTTAGTCAGTTACTAAAATAGTTGTTGAGGTATTTAATAACATGGAGAAAATCTCATAATGTAGTGGTAAGTTTTAAAGGGGTGGAAACAAAACTCTACATAAAGTATGAATCTAATTCAAATCTAGGGAAAAGGTATTTAACATAGACCAAAAGGAGAGGTAATCTTGGTTAACTCTGAGTTGTAGCATTATTGGTGACATTTTTCCTTCTCATAATTTTTTATATTTTTCAAATTTTCTACAATGATATGATGTTTATCTTTTATAACCTTTCCTTACCCCAAACAGATGTGCTTTGCCAAATTCTGCTTGTTAAAATTAAATAAAAATTAAACTGTAGTCAAGAATGTAAGCACATGCATGCAGACAGAATGATTAATAGGTGCCCCTTATATTAAACAATAATTACACTTGATCCTCATGAATACTTATGATTTTCCAGTACACATTACATTGGGTCAAGCAGAGGTCATACAAGTCTTCCATATTTCTCAATTGTGGAGATTATAATGAGCACCCACCATGTGTCAATACTAGGCTAAATTTACAAGCATTATTTCTAATTGTTACCTTCTCTCAGACAGATGAGAAAACAGAAGTTCCAAGAAGCTGAAGAAACATATGTGAGCACGCACAATTTGAACACAGCAAAGCTGGGATTTGAACCTGGGTCTCACTCTCACCATAGACTCACACTCCTTCCCTTGCACTATTTGCCTCTAAAAGGCAGATCCTCCCATAGCATGCCCAGATGAACATCAAAGAGGGCCACAATTCTATTCTTTCTATAGGTGAGTGGGGGAGATTGGGAACCAACTACAGAAATATTTATGCCCATTCATTCCTAGACGGACCTCACAAATGTGGATGACAGAGACAAAGCTCACTGATAACAAGAGTAGACTGGACAACTATGGGGCCAGGTTCTCAGTTTATCAACTCAACTCCTGAGAAACTAGTCCTTTCCATTGTCTTTGGCCACTAAGATAATGGTGCAATACTGTATACCCACCTGGCAACGTAAGGCGACTTGTGGAGCTGGTGCTTGCGGCTGGCGAGCCATGAGAACGCCGTTTTGTGCCTGTGAAGAGAAAAAAGAAGATAAGAAAAAACAGGATTGTGGAAAGACCTGGTGGACAAGTAAATGTTCATCTGAAACGTTATCAAATTTGGGTCTGAAAACAACCTTTAGAAGCAGATTAGGTGAGGTTGCAGGGTGGCGCATATCCTGTGGTCCAGATAGGCTGGGGGTGTCGCCTTTGCCTTTGTGTGTGTGACAATGCTCAGTTCCTCTGGCTGGAAAGTTGACATGTTGGGATCAATGTGCCACTGAGCAAGGCTACATTTTAGGATCGCAGGGGAAGCTTTCTAAATCCGTGGTTACCTGGGTGTCACTCCCACAGTTCTAGGGTGGAAGCCCAGCACTGATGTTTCTAAAGCCCCTCATTCTAATGTGCTTTCATCCAGGATGGAGGGCTTTCTGAAGAAGGGGAAGCTCTGATTTAGAATGAGGGAATCAGGGGGTTTGTCCCTGATTTGGGCTTATAGGGTTTACTCGTTATTGGAGCTCAAGCAATTAACTGAATCTTTCTGAAGCTCAGGTCTACATCTGTGAAATGAGGAGAATAACAGCAATTACATCAATGTGCGCCAATGAGGATTGAAGGAACCAAGGTGTGTCCAGTGTCCAGGAATGATGGGAGACTCCACAAATATTAGGTTAGTGAGGTTTCTGAGTTTCCCAGCAACTGGCAACAGAATTCCTATTAGGAAGGGAATTATCTTTGTTCTAATAAAGTATTTAATGGGTCACAAGGCAATGAGAAGGCAAAACTCAGGATGGGATCAATAAGAAGGAGCAGAACAAAGGCAAAAAGGGAAGATTGAGTGGTTCTGCCAAAAAATTTACATTTTTTGTATATATGTATGTGTACGTATATACGCATGCATTTACTTACATATACACACAGACACATATATGCAAACATCTTATACATAAACATTAATATTTATTTATTCATTCATTCATTCATTCATTTATTTTGTCATTCAGAGTGGGAAGAAAGAAGCCTGGAAGACAGATTCTAGGAACATGGCAGATGCCTGCAGTCTGAGCTGGCAGAAATGCAGAGAGAACTCCTCAGCAGAGGATATCCATGAGTCAGTGTTAGGTTATTTCTGTTAGGAGTCCCCAGAAACTTCCCAAATTTTAGCAAAGTCTACGTTATATGCAGAGGCCTGGTGAAAGTTGAAGCCATGCTAATTGAGAAGACCCTGTGTGTCAATATAGTCACCAGTAAAGATAACAAGAGAATCCCAAGGCTGGGCAGTGTCAGAGGAAGCAGAGACTTGGGGTTGGAGGTGAGTGGGTGAGCAGTAAGCTTTCCCTATCCCAGAATCCCTGGGGAAGAATGGAAACATGCACTTTGGATGACATCTGAGATCGTTCCGTTTTACTTTATTGTTTTTGAGATGGAGTCTCATTCTGTTGCCCAGGGTGGAGCGCATTGGTGCGATCTTGGCTCACTGCAACCTCTGCCTCCTGGGTACAAGTGATTCTCCTGCTTCAGCTTCTGAGTAGATGGGGCTAGAGGTGTGCACCATCATGCCTGGCTAATTTTTGTAATTTTAGTAGAGACAGGGTTTCATCAGGTTGTCCAGGCTGGTCAACTCCTGACCTTGTGATCCACACACCTCTGCCTCTCAAAGTGCTGAGATCACAGGCACGAACCACTGCACCCAGCCTCATTTTAATCTTAATGAACAGGGCAGCAATCCTGACCTTCTGCAACAAATGCCTTCCGGACGGTAACAAATGTCATTGTTAATCATCATTTATTTCTTTTCTTGCAGCAGTAGTAAAATAGAAAACATAAAATTAATCTAAACAGTTCAGACCTATGAAAACTGTTAGTTTGCATGAGGTGAAAGGAACTGTATGTGGTGGGACTTTATGTCTTCATTTTCCAGGTCTCGCAGCTGCCCTGAAGGTCAGAGTTGGTGGAGAACACAGAGGGTCCAACCCTGGCTGTAGCTATGCCTCAGTTCTTCAACTTCAGCTGAGTAACTCAGTTACTCCTCAGCTGATTTTTATAAATATGACTTCCAAGGTCCTTGTTTGGACACTGAAGCAGAATCTCCAGGGAATGGAGCCACAAATTTGCATTTTAACAATTTCACCAGGTGAGTTCAATGATGGTCTTATAATCTGGTACTTCATTGGTCTAATGAAGTGTCTTGGACACTCTGGAGTGAAAGATTTACCCAAACTGACACTCTGTGCCAGGGTCAGTCCTGCCACACTGCACAGCCCCTGGGGATGCTGGTCACACTGTATCCTACACAAAGATTATTGGACCCTGGGTGTGCAACACGTGGGCCCTATTAGGAGGCATTACCAGAGAGCACATCTATACCTTTGACCTGTGGTCCAGAGCCATTTCTGCTCCGTCTGAAATGTCGCTGTGTCCCACGGGATCTGCCTCCACTATGGGGATGCCAATCACAACCCTCCACTCACAAGATTTTTTTGCTTGTCTCATTGAAGCTTTGGGATAGGGTTTCTCAACAGCGGCACTGTGACATTTGGGCTATACAATTCTTTGTGGTGGGGACTGTCCTGTGTACTGGAGAATGCTTGGCTGCACTTCTGGCCTCTCCCCATGAGATGTCAGTAGCCCCTCCCTAGTCATGACAATCAAAATCGTCCTCCAGATGATGACCAATGTCCTCTGGAGGCAAAAGTGCCCTCAGTCAAGAAACGCTATTTTAGGATGGAGACAGGGCTTCGCGTTTTATTCAGAGCTTAATACGTGGGATTGCCTATTACCAATGACCAAGGAGACCCCAATTTGGCTGTTTGGTCATTGGTGATAGGCAATCCCACGTATTAAGCAGTTACTATGGCACTGGAGCCATATTAGGTACGCACCATGAAATATAGATTTGTTGTTTCTAATGTTAACATTCTGACAATAAAATTATTCCCATTTTATAGCATTTGAAGACAAAAGTGTTTAAATAACTTGCCTAAAGTTACTAAGTGTTAGGGTAAGAGGGAAAAATTTAAGTCAAGATAATTCAAAGTTCAAACTTAAGGAAATTTTTTCCCTGACTCTTGCTGCTTCTTAACCAACCCATTATCTGGGTTTCCTTCAAGCACAGTTTCCCAAAGTCATCTAAGAGGAAGAAAAACCTGGGATAATTATTTTAACGAAAAGAAAAATGTAAAACCCGATTTCCAGGCCTCACTGAGCTCTTAGAGCCAGCATTTCTGGAGGCAGGGCTTAGGGACCTGGGTTTTTCACAAGTGGCCCAGGTGACTCCCATCACAAGGGAGGCTTGGAACACGTTGTGTGGCAGAAATCTTTTCTTTCTTTTTTTATTTTTGGTCTAACTAATGAAATATGTGCCATTCTGCTCTCTTTGTTTGTGTGTTTGTTTTTGTGGAGTCTCACTCTGTCTCCAGGCTGGAGTGCAGTGGCGCAATCTCAGTTCACTGCAACCTCCACCTCCCGGGTTCAAGCAATTCTCCTGCCTCAGCCACCTACGTAGCTGGGACTACAGGTACGTACCACCACCACCCAGCTAATTTTTGTATTTTTAGTAGAGACAGGGTTTCACCATGTTGGTCAGAATGGTCTCAATCTCTTGAACTCATGATCCTCCTGCCTCAGCCTCTCAAAATGCTGAGATTACAGGCATGAGCCACCATGCCCAGCCTGGCATTCTGCTTTTCGTGGATACTCTTGTGAAGCTGAGAGACCAAATTTAATGTTGCCCACATGAGTACCTGAAAAACTGCCAAGTGTTCAATGGCCACAAACTTAGTGTTGCTGCCTGTAGAAACATCTACTATTGCCAAGTTATTTCATAGAAATGCTTGGTGGAATTAAAAGAACATAACTGACTGTGATCTTCCAGAAGCCTGCAGGTTGATAGCTTTCTGCAGAGGGAGCTTTTCATCCCCTAGGTATCTTCTCTGCAAACACTAAGTAAGGAAACTTTGGGAACCTTGAGTCAGTGAAAAAGCAGAACTGCAAGCCCTCTAGAAAGGCTGTTATTTTCTCTGTTTGCTTGATGAGATGCCCAATACATCAGGAAAGGGGTGAAGCCATCCCACCTCTCATAATCATGAGTCATAAACAGGTAGCAGGTGGGGGATGCATAAAATAAGACTGGTTTTGATTTCGCCATGGGCCATTGGGGGTGGTTAGGTTCTGAGTCAGCCTCCCACTGGCTTCCAGTTTGCTGAGGTTGTGTTCCTGAATCACTTTCCATGCCGAAGCTACCAAATTACCTATCACTTTACTCAAAGTTCCACTCATGGGAGTAATATCCAACTCAGCTAAGTTTCATTTTCTAAAGCCCTTTGCCCTTCACCCTTCCCTTGCTCCCTCCCATGTCTAGGAAGAACATTGGAAACCTGGTGGGAACACCCAGTCTAGACCCAGCTTCTAAACTGTAGCGTACGATGCGCACAGAAGGCTAAAGACCACCCACCACATGGAACTGGTTCTTGAACTCACTGTAGAACTCTCCTCTGTCAGTGGTTTTCAATCCTGGCTACATATTAGAATCATCTGTGGAGTGCTTAAACAATATGCTGACACCTGGCCCTTCACCCCAAGATGCTGTTTAGTTGGTCTGGATGGGACCTGGGCATGGGGACTTCTTCATGTTCCCAGGTGAGCCTGACCTGCAGTCATGAGAAGCACCACCTTCACTGAATACCCAGAGAACATGTTTCTTTCAGGTGCCAGGATGGAAGCCTTTTTTCTGAAACAACTGGTGTGATCCTCACGAACGTGAATCTTGTGAATGGTTTCTTTCCATTTAAGAGTAGGATTCCAGAAAGCTGAGACCCAGTCTATGACCTAATGCTAGGAATCGGGGGGGCCGATTTAGCCTGCACGTCTGCGTACTAACACTTGCCCCGGTTTGCTCCGTCTATGCTAGCTCTACTTCATGACTGGTTTTATTCTGCTTTCTTAATCGTTAGCAAAAGCAATATATTAAATTTATATGATTTTAGAATTCTCAAGTGTTTTATAAATGAGGTAAAATAAAAGCAGATAAACAACTATGTCAATGCTGCTATTGCTAAATTTCATTTTCCTCATCAATAAAATTTAGAAAACATCAATGTCAGGATGATAACGGCAAGCACCAAGTAAGAGTACACATGTGACAGTGCTTAGCAAACTGTGTTGTACAATATAGTGTTTATTATTCTTTTTAGAAAGGTGTGTGTGTACACGTGCATGTGCGCATGTGAGTGCACATGTGTGTGTGTATGTGTATGTGTGTCTAAGTAGGTAATCTGTCATCTTTGGGAAATAAACACTTTACGGTCAGGAATTACCTTGCCCTTGACTCACAGCATGTGGCTATTTAAGGAATAAACAACCCAATCCGTCAGCTTGGGGCAGAAATGTCACCACTAAACTTGTACGACTTGAGGTATCCTTTGACAAACAGATAGCTTTCAGATATTTCAAATTAATGCCCTTGTTTGGTTCAGCTAAAGGGCAAGGAGTCCAATTCATCAAGAGTCTGAAGTAGACGACAGTGATGGAAGTGACAACTAAGGCTACCCGCCTCAGGATGAACACACACCCAAGACGCAGGGACTTCCCAAAGTTAGTGCTGAAGCACAGTGACTTGCAGCTTAACCTCAAACAAATCATTTCCCTTCCGCAAAATGGGGTTAGCCTGGCCAAGTCTATGCCTGCTGGGGAAAGGGTGATTTAAGAGCCCTTGAGACAAAACATCATCGTTATTAATGGCCTGGCAATAGCAATGTCATTATAGTACAACCAGATCCCACAGGGCAGAGGAGGATGCTGAAAGGCTGAAGTATGAAAAAGCTTATTGGCCGTTTTCAACCTCTCTGTTTTAGCATATTGTAAATGACTGCCTTTCTGATATCCACAGACCTCTGATCATGATTGCTGAGCATATCTGCCAACACCTTCTTTGTGCTCCATTTGGGCTGGGGCAGAGGGCAACAAGCCATTGCCTAAAGCCTCAGAACAAATCATAATTTTTGCCCCTGTACAGCTTTGAAGAGAAGGCATCAAAAAAAGTCCAATTCTGCTTTAGGCTGTGGGATCACTGAAAGAGTCTGGAGGGCTTAAGTTACTGCTGTCAGGTACATTTAGCAAAAAAGAAAAAAGTGAAAAAAAGAGTCTGGAGGGCCTAACCACCCCCCCAAACACACACATGCACACACACACACACACACCTCCCTGAGAGTTATCTTCCAACAGTATATAAATTAAGGTTGAATATTCAGAGTATCAGGGTATTTAATGTTATTTTCCTCCACAGTACAACCACCATCAATACTAGGTTTGCTTTTGTGTGACTTGAAGATGTCTGTTAATCACAAAGAACAATGATTAAAAACAAGAGCTATTCAGAGATGCAACACCACATGCTATTTAAACATGGCTTTCAAAATATTTGAATATGCTTGGAACTTGAATTGGGCATATGAATGAGGAGTTCAAAAAATGATCACAACCTATGACCCAGTTGCTGTCCCATGGAATTGTGTCCAATGGATATTCAGAAATGTGACAAAGCCTTATGTACAAAGAGCTCCATTGCTGTTATTTACAACTGTGAAAAGTAAAATAAAAGCATATAACTTAATTTCTCAATGGCAGAGACGCGGTTAAGTAAATTGTGCTGGAGCCACAGAATAAAACATGTTGCTATTGAAATTATATTAATGGAGAGGTTAAAAAACTCACAAGAAAATGCTTACAGTCCAATGTGTGTGAACAAACCATAATTCAAAATTTACTATACGGCCTTGACTGTGTAAAAATGCATAGCAAAAGATCATAAGAAAAGAAAGTACCTACAATGACTAATTGTTGGATGGGGTATTACAAGTGATTTTAAGTTTCCTATTATACTGTCTACACTTTCTAAATTGAGTAAATTCTATTTTTACTTTAAGAAATAAAAAATTAAAAAATATGTTTCACGGTGGCTCAAGCCTGTAATCCCAGCACTTTGGGAGGCCGAGGCGGGTGGATCACGAGGTCAAGAGATCAAGACCATCCTGGTCAACATGGTGAAACCCCGTCTCTACTAAAAGTTACAAAAAATTAGCTGGGCATAGTGGCGCATGCCTGTAATCCCAGCTACTCAGGAGGCTGAGGCAGGAGAATTGCCTGAACCCAGGAGGTGGAGGTTGCAGTGAGCCGAGATCGCGCCATTGCACTCCAGCCTGGGTAACAAGAGCGAAACTCCGTCTCAAAAAAAAAATATGTTTCAATAAATGGCAAGTATAAGGTTTGGAGGAACATCACAGTCCCCTTCATCAGAGTAATAATACCATCCAGAAATGATACACCAGGTGGCCCTGGTGAAGGGGAGGTATTTGTGTAATATGCAGTGTCACCACTAGAGGGCTCTCTCTCAGGAGCGGGTTGGAAGGCATCAGGCTGGGTGCCATACAGGATGTAAACCACTTTTATTCCCACAAACAGGAGTAATGACTACACAGAGTCCCTGACTCATGATGGACCCACTTAAATTTCCAGACTTCATGATAATGGGAAAGCAATACACACTCATAGAAACCACAAACAAGCATTCTGTTTTTCACTTTCAGAACAGTATTCAATAAATTACATGAGCTATTCAACACTTTTATATAATAGGCTTTGCATTAAGTGATTTTTGCCCAACTCTGTGATAATGTAAGCGTCTTGTTATTCTTAAGGCAGGATAGCCCAAGCTATGATGCAAACATAGCCGGTAGCCTAGGCCTATTAAATACATTTTGACTTATGATTTTTTCAACCCACAATGGGTTTATCAGGATATGACCCCATGATAAGTCAAGGAACATCTGTATTCCCTAGTCAGACTCCTTATGTTCATGGCTGGAGCAGGAAAATACTGCCAAATACGCCCCTTTCAAGAATAGGAGAAAGAAAAAGTTGGCAATTCAACATCACAAGGCTGTAAAATTATAATATCATTGTACCCCAAAGAAAAACATACGGAAGCCAGCTTAATTCCATGAATGCTGAGATTTCTTATGCCTCTGAGGAGCTTCTGATAACCCATTTACTTCATCCCTTATAGTAAAAAATGGTGAAATGAAACGTGATATAATCATACTCTGTGTATGTCTTCCAGTGTGCAGGCAAAAGCACTTGGTTCCTGGGTATTAAGAGGTGTTTAAGGGAATATAAAGGACAGATGGTTGAGTGAGTGTGGGCAGCCCTACATCTGAGACAGAACACGGACAACAATGAGAAACATTCAAAGGAAAAAAAAAAACAGCCTTTTCATTTTTCCATCTCCAATTAAGAGGTTAACTCATTGTTTTTATTTGGTCATCAGAAGAACATACAAGTACTTATGCATTGCTAGATGCTGGGGGAACATTTTACATTGAAGGAATGTCAGGCTCACTTGTGCAATAAAGATTTACAATGAACACATCATTAATTTTTCTGAGAGCAGCTCAGTATACTCTTTTTTTTACATGAATCCTTACGATGTAATTTTGCATCTGGAGATAGATGCTATGGCATTTGGATACATTGTTTTAGTACAAAACAGCATCTTAGAGAACAGGACACTCTTCCTTAGAATGGATGGCCATTCCTTTGCCCTGTGATGTAAAAATGCAAATTACACCCTGCATTTTATCTGCCAGAAGTGTATTTCACATCATGGAAGTACATTCTATCACTACTATGAAATCAAAACAAATCCATATCACCATCCTCCCATTCTCAGAACACATCCAGAGATCCCTTCCTTATTCCTCCAAAGAACTATTTATTCAGCTAGATATTGGTTGGAAGTTTGAGTTTGGGTTCTTCTTGCCTCTCTCTTTTGAGTCTTGCTAAACGTTCTTGATATTTTTCCAGATACCTCTTGCAAATCCAGCTGAACAGTAGCAACATCTAAAGCTGAGGAGATGGGTTGACTTTTCCATTCACACATGCCTAGTGCCCTCATGAGGAGAGAGCCTACAGACCCACGGTGAGTAGCAAAAATAGTGCTCTACACTAAGGGAAACAGTAACAACATCATATTTGCCTCTAAGTGACTCACTTTGCTTCGGGTAATTGATTTCCCATAAAGACTTCCTTCTTCCTGCTTCGTTTTCCCAATCTATTTCTGCCTCCCCATCTATCCCCAGTGACTTGACACCCAAAACGTCCCCATGTGAATTACATGGAACAAGATGCTTTTGTTTTTCCCATTATTTTGTGTTTGTAAGTGCTAGAATGATACTGCAAGCAGAATGGGTTACCTGAACATAAGCAAAAGAAGAAATTTGTGAAGAGTAGAAAAATAGGAGAAAAACATGGAAAACAAAGAGTTTGAAAAGGAGAAGACACTTAAATCAGATGGGGGAATCTTGTTGTACAGTGAGCACAAGAGCTGATAAACACCTAACCAAGGTCTACAAATAAAAATAGCAAATATATTTTTAAAAATTTTACAGCATATAAAATTGTACAAAAATATCATCAAAGCAAGAAAAAAGGAAATGTATTCTCTATAGTTCTTCTAGAATCAGTTACTGGACAATACCTATGGCTGTAGGTTTTTCCTATACATCTATATATATTAATATAATATGTGACTGCATTTCTGTACCATCACACATATACCCGCTCAAAGACAAGGATAGTAGTACACAAATTCTACCCCAAGATAGGTCATGAGAGGGAAGCAAAGACTGTACAAGGATGTGTCTCAGGGCAATCTATTTAAAACGCATTCTATAGCCACTGGGTTTTAATGGGCTTTATTTTAAATAAGTTACCCTGCACCAAAAACTGACTGAGAAATGATTCTACAGGTTCAGAAGCCAGCACTCATGAGGAATACATGAGTAAGGTTCAGGAATCCTAGCTGAAGCTGACCAAAGCTGAGAGGATGGGTCTTTAGCTGGCACTGCCTCTAGTCTGCCACAGCAAGCATTTACACCCAAGGGTGACAAGGTCTCCTCAGGGGAGACTGAATGAGTGTGCCCTGAGCACACTGAAAGGGCCCACACCCCACTCCCTGCTTCTCCTGGCTCATCAGATGGCAGCCCAGGCTGAGTGGAAGTACAGTTAATGAAGCCAGCCATTGCCAGGATTAATCCACTTCTGCTTGGGAACAGAAGCCAGAATAAACATGAATTCATGTCAAATATGTCTGGCAATATTTTTTTTAAAAATGAATCAGGTGAGGATATTTAAGAAAACAATCAGGAATTAATAATGTTTAAACTTGACCATCACACATCTTTCAGTCCAGGTCATCCACTGCACGACTGTTCCTTGTTTAATATGAAAACAAGAAGCTATTTCATATTAAATATGAAATATTCTTGTTTAATTCAGACATTCCTGGATAAGCACTCGGTCTTTTTACAAATGTCCAAGAAGAACCTTCAGAAGCCTATTTCCCAGTTTTCTAATCTTCCTGGGCCCATGTTCATGATCAGATAAACTGTCTAATGTAAATGACTCCGGTAACATTCTAATTCTAGTGTCATCTCTGTGCCCACCAGTGTCTTTGGTGAGAGGAAACCTTAAACACTGAAATCTGGCCTTGGCAGGTAATATGTCTCTTGATCCCCAGAGGGAGGTTTTATTATAGGAATATCGTCACCGCTCATTGCAATTTTTTCATTAAATTCATTTTCTCAGTGATAATGAGGGCTTTAATCATGGATCACAGTGGATAAATTGTAAGTATTACTTCCCATTTGTTCATGAATAAGATCCAATATAACATCATTATTGCAATATTATGTTCTTGAACGTCAAATTTTGCCATGGTTCGGTGCTGTACCAATTGGATTATTGGTGGAGCAGAACTATGCAGTGATTCCTCATGCTGCACATAGAGCATTTCCTATTTGCTTCAGGATATTCTGTTTAAAATTTTTAAAGTTTCAACTTGGATTTTCAGTAAATCCACGGATGTTTCATAGAGATTGCTGTCATCATCCCTTTTGGAAAGACATTCTCAAATAAATCCTGTTTTATTATTTTGTTTTTTCTTAAATCAAGAGGCCATAGAAAGTTTTTATTTTATTTTTTTTGTACATTGGCTATGACAATTTCTCCCAAATTACCTGCAATTTCCCATCTCTTATGATAAGCTATTTGTGTGAGTGGGGTATGCCTGCATATACTTAGAAGATAAGAAGATAAGCCTTTAGCAATGTGCTTGGCATATAGGAGATACTGAATACATTTTCAGGGATATTTGAATTTTGTTTGCATTCACAAGTAGATAGTGGAATTCAGTTAGACGATTCTGCTTGTGTTTCCTGAATGCTGACCAGGTTCCAAGCACTGTGGTGGGCCAGCACTGCATCTCCTGTGGGGTGGGTGGGCATCTCTGAATCAGAACAAAGTTTCCAATTAGGAAAAAGAAAGTGTTGCCTGAATTCCCTGAATTCTCTTTATTTGGGATAGAACATTACATATGCAGGCTTCCAGTGTCAGACTCTTCTCTACTTCACTACAAGAAAAAGATTTTGTGCTTTTTCTCCTATTGTTTTTCCTAGGCTTTGTGGGGAATGCTACAAAGTAATTTCCGTCATCAAAAGCTCTGCTCATAGATTAAGAAAGAAGAAAATATAATATCTATCTATCAATCAATCTATCTATCTAAAGAAAAGTGACCCATGAGAGAAGTGAGACTAAAATAAACCATATCCATACTTCCAAAATATGGATAACAAAAATTGGCCTCCAACTTTTTGGATCACTGTCTCACATCCTGTGATAATGTTGCTTTTTACTTTTCACTTTTGTATTTAAAGGCATGGTTCCAAGTAGAAAATATAACATCATCACTTAAATTCTACAAATGAATCACATATGCACTAGGTTATTATTTGGCTTTCAGATGTTTAGGTATCATTTTACTGTTTAAGTGTATCAGATCCACAATGAGATCATGTCAAATGTTTTCAGTGGTTTTTTTTATTATTACTATTTGAGATGGAGTTTCACTCTTGTTACCCAGGCTGGAGTACAATGGCGCGATCTCCGCTCACTGCAACCTCCGCCTCCTGGGTTCAGGCAATTCTCCTGCCTCAGCCTCCTGAGTAGCTGGGACTACAGGCACGCGCCACCATGCCCAGCTAATTTTTTGTATTTTTAGTAGAGACGGGGTTTCACCATGTTGACCAGGATGGTCTTGATCTCTTGACCTCGTGATCCACCCGCCTCGGCCTCCCAAAGTGCTGGGATTACAGGCGTGAGCCACCGCGCCCGGCCTTTCAGTGGTTTTTAAAAGCTCCAGAAATGAAATGGACAGAACGAAGTCCATTTGAATTTAATGGGTTAGAAATGGGTCTCTTGCCTGCTGCCATAAACCATGAGGGCTCATAACCTAAGAAAGTTGGCACACACAAGAAAATGGAACAAAGGCCTCGATAAGAATGGGTCACTATGCCACTGAAACATGCCACACTAACACAACTTAGATGTAGAGCCATTTGATGATATGGGGACCCAAATTCCAGGGCTAACTCAATTTGTCACATTTTACCCAGGAACGTGTGGGGTGTGTGGGTATGTCTGTGGTGGGACTTACTGTCTCCACACACTGGTCAATTCTTAATTCAGGAGTGTAAGCCCTTGCTGTGTGTGTGTAAACTAGAGGAAGATGCCATAATCTGTGCAACAAAATAATGTTTGTCCAAAATTGCTGTTTAACTTGAAGAAGACTGTTTCAAGAGAATTAAAAGACCACGGAAAATAAGCTAAGCTTTGGAAATATTGCCGTTCCAGTCAGCACTGATTTGGAATAACTATTTTAATGTTTTATCAGCTCCAGTATCAAATCATAGCATCATCTAATATAGCAGTTTGTATTTTTAACAGATAACTTTGCATTTTTACTCAATATCTCTTCAAAACACTTTTTAAAGATTTAAAGCTAATAATGAGTTACATGGAGTTTTGTTTTACTTCACTGAGAATTTTTGGTGTAACTTTTCATTCTTTAAGGAATGAAATTCTCTTTCCATTCTTCTTCAGTTGATTAGGGACTTATAGTAAATGAAAAACATTTGCATTTTTATCAGTGCTAGAAAAAAGTGGCTATATTCCTGTTTCTTTTTCAAATGTTGTTGCGTGTAGCTTGTTGGATTATAAAACGGAAGCTGTAGACTTTCTATTTTGGCTGGCCAAAAAGCTCCACATACAAAAATACAGAATATAAATGAGGTAAAAGGTCCATGTACCAAGGTCAAAAATTGACATACACCTCTAAGAACATAGTCTGCAAACTGATGTCCCAGAGATTGAACACAGTTCACAGGCATGTTTCATTTGACTAGCACAGTGTTTGTAAGTTTTTGAGTTAGTCGTCAATATGTAAAAATTTGGAGAGGGTTTATATCAAATCCTAGGTATCTAAGACCCCCATCGCCTCACAGCTCAGATCTAGTAGCTACCGACCGACTACCCCTTTTTGACATCACTCACCCTCTCCAATTTCTTACAGTCCCCATTGCTCCTTCCTGTCTCACTGATACAAAGGCCCACTACAAATTGGCATTTACCACAATGACTGTAATATTACATGTCTTGTTTTATTCATTTACTTGACCTGATAGGTTCTTGAAGCCATCTGAATTTGTGGCCACATTATGTAGTGAGGTCATTGTTAGGAAAGCAGGGAGCACAACAGAAGAACCTGTGTTTCTCCAAGGCAAAACGTACAGCTGGCAGAATAAATCTGTTTAAACATCGGCATACTGTTGTGCATTCTGTACGAGGAAGTTCTACAAATGTTTCTGTTGGGGGAACATTTCCGCAAGGCAAAGGTCTTGGTAGACCACACAGTCTCTTTCTGAAAAAACGCCAATATTTCACCTTAGTAGGGAAAGGACGTTTAAATATCTGTTTTCGTGCTTTTTATGTAGAAATTCAATCTGTAGTGGGGAATACACTTAACTATTGCCTAGCCTCTTTCTTCCTATTTCTAATCCCCACTTCCTCACCAGCATGTGCTTTACTCTTGGAAAGGACTCAGAGATTCCTATGTAACCAAACCCCATTTTAAGAATACTTTTATCCAAATCACATCATTTAGACCCATAAAATCGCACCTTACTTGCACTCCCTTAGATCCCACCTGTAATGTGGTTTCAAGGGGGCTGCAATGCTATTATCTTTCCATGCTACATCTACTATTCTTATTTTTGATTCATGCCATTAATCCACTTCTACCTTGTATTTTTAAAACTCGCTAAAATGCACAGAATTATCTGCCATATCTCCCTGATACTAATTCCTTTAGCACTTGACTGAATAAAAAGAAGAGTGATGAAGTCAAACCACAGATATCCAAAAGAAGATGACCAGCCAGTGGCCAAATATGAGTAACCACTTAGTTCCAGATGCTGCCAGTGAAGACAATAGGTTCTCACTCAACAGTATGGTCATCAGCTGAACATTAAGGTTTATACTAGGAATGCACAGAGAAAATAAATTAAGCATCAAATAAAGATTCCTATAGAATAATCTTTTTTTTTTTTTTTTTTTTTTTTTTTTTTTTTAGAAAACAAACAGAATGACATATTATACATGTGGGGGGAAAAGGCATAAGAACAATTTTAAGTCTGAAAGGAAATTGGATTAAACTCATGTTCCTGACTCAGGAAAGGAAGCAGGAACTAGAATCACCATCTTTGCTGTGATGAATGTTAGCATGGCCGTATCGTCAGTAGCTAGTGCAAAAATGACAACATGTAAAGCAACAGCATTGACAGTCATAAAATGGCAATTACTGTGTGTGTGGCTTTTTTCAGGCCCCTCCCAGCATACCCAGGATGTCCATTCTCGTCAGGTAAGACAGGTGCCTTGAAAGCCAGGTCATGAGCAAAGGATTCTGAGGATGCCCCTTCATGTTTTATTTCTTTTAAAGAGTAAAAATCTCAAGTTGTTTGGTTTGCTCAGGGGAATATCTCCCAAAGTTCTAAGACCTCAAACCAGCCCCCAAAGAGTCATCCCCTGGCAGGAGATGCTGTGAGAGAAGGCCAAGGGTTGGAGGGGGACTTGTTTTTGAAAGTTGTACACCTTCTCCAGATATGGGTCTTTGTGGAAGAAGGAGAAGAAGGAGAATGAAGAAGCTCAGCTAGAATGATGCAAGACATTGGCAGCCTCTTTTATTGTCTATGAGGTCTTTTTACTCTTCTGAATCTGAAAAAAAGAAAAAGAAAAAGAAAAGTGTCAATGCTGCCTTTCCCCCTGCTCCACCCTCCAAGTCTGAGGAGAAGAAAATCTAGGGGACAAAAAAAATGGGGCAACCAATTAAACATTCCCATAGTGGTCATTGCTGTCTCCTTCATAATAAGGTTTATTCTATCCATAAGGGGAAAATCTCAGTGTAAAGCTGTGAACACAAGTACACCTGAAATCTTAATAGTTGCTATAAACTAGCAAACAACTGATCGTGCAATATGGATATTAAGCCACCTTCTTTCGCAGTCAAGATGACAGTTTGTTGCTAGATCTGGTCAATCTGTCTCAAGGTCAGTGGGACTGACTGGAAGAAATCAGATTCATCTAATCCCAACTGTGTTCATACAAAAAGCAATGCTCCTCCCTCTCAGAATTCTTGCCTCACACTCAGAAGTTTCCCACAGACATTTAAAGCACGCTGCATCCTAGCCCAAATCATTGTGCAGATGGGTGAATCACCTGAGTTCTCCACTGAACCCAGAGCAAGGGGGCGGAGGAAGAACACAAAGATGGAAACAGGACTAAGTTAATAAAAACAATATTGGATTTTTTTTTTTACCTGGCATGCTCTACCCCATGTAACCTCAAAGGTCTTCGAGAGAATTTAAAACAACAACAACAAACCCACCATATTATTTCTTCCCGTTGGTGTTACATGCTCAGCAAGTCATCTTGCCTTATAGTTAAAAAGGGTTCCCTCCTGTGCAGAGCTCCAGTGGGCTAGCAGTACAGTGGTCTGGACTCTATGAAGGGTAACACCATGATCTACAGAGACGTTAGAAGCTTTTACAGGACAAGGAAAGTTTCCCATTCAACTTTAAGGACTAAGATACTCTCCTAAGATTTAGCTGAATGTAGCAGAAAACTCACTGGGAGATAGGAGAGCTCCTTCTGATCTATTGTAATTACAATCAATTCTCAATTTTCCAGGGGCCAGTGATCCAAGCTTCCTGCTGTCCCTCCAACTTTGTTATGTTCTTGACTGTTCATTATGTTTACTCTCCATTAACACCTTCACCCATTTGGGAGAAATAACAGATAAAAGTAAGGCTTCAGACCAATTACTTTACTCCAATGCTAGCACTGATAAGCTTGCTAGTGAGAGAAGGAGGTGAACAAAAGCTGAAATCAAGGATGAGAAATTTTCCGTTGAAGCTGATAGTCTATGCACGGTTTGGTCCACATGGGAATTGCAATACAGGACTCTGTTCTTAGCACTCTGACCCTGCCATTATCAACTTGGGGTCATATGTCATGAGGCTTCTTTTAGAGTCATCATAATACTAACCCTATTCAGAGATGTCCCCAGACCCTCAAAGGTAAAACCCAATTTTGTTAGGATAATAGAAGGTTGGGTTTGATTTTTTAATAACAGACCCATTGGATGGAAAGAAGCTGGAGACAGATAGCTGGGGACAGCTGATAAGGACCACTGTTAAACTCAGTGAGCCCTATCTGGCCAATAAGGCGAGTGATGCATGATCCAGACTGCCGGGTCTCATAGTTGGAAAGAGGCCTATCTAGGGTCTTAATGAACTCCAGAGGAGATCTTCCTCCATTTCTAATTACTGCTTATGGGTGAGATGGTGGAGTGTTCCCTCTGGTTGGGGATCTCCATCCTCCCTTCCAACGTTAGGTCAAGGGGTGGAGGGAAAGACTGAATAAAAGAAGTTCATGTGTTTAAGCTTTGCCTGTGTTTACTGTCATTAAATACAACCAGCAGTAAAAGAACAAAAATCGTATGTTCTGTAGTTGGGTCTGTAGAATACGTCTGATATATCTGATGACCCAAGTGATCATCCAAGGCCTTCTCAAGCACATGCCCTCTAAAAGTAACTTCTGTTTGTGAATTTCTTAAGGCACTTAAGAAATACCCTATGGTGCCTATGTCATAGCTCTCTGCAAAATAATGCTCCAACCCAGACTGCTGACTCCTTGAGAGCAGGGAAAATATCTCATTTATCATTTTTAACACTCCTTGCATGTAGTGCAACGCCTAACACATAACATATGCTCAATAAATTTTTTGTGAATGAAAAAGAAGAGAATGGAATAAGCATGAGGAGGATGGGACTGATAAGGTGTGTTGATGAGTAGATTTCCCTCCACCCATTTCCTAATTTGACTTTCACAACATGAAATAAAAATTAAAAAGAAAATAATGAACACATAAATTACATATTTTATTCAATAGGAAGGTACGATATGCCAAAATATTTATATTCCCTATGAAGGTGGCCAATTATGGATGGCTTTCTATGGAACAAATCTCCCAGAGAAGGACCACCTGCTTTTCAAGCAACTTTGATACAGTCTGTAAATGAGGCTGGTCCCCTTTTCACTCTACATTCTAGCTTTCATTGTGTTTGGTTTTATGTATTTGTTTTCAATATAAACTAAAATTGAGTAAGCATCTGCAAGACTACAAAGTATATAAAAATGAGGACCCTGAAGACAAAGTGTTAAAAGGCCACTCTGTGTGTAACTGAGAAGCATGACTTTTTGAAGGCCACAAAAAGTAGTTAAATCCACCCACTCTTTTAAGAGTGACTGATGAATTGAAATGGAAACTCTCTTGCCAAATATGGGATTAATTCAGGAAAATATTTAAGTGCCTGACCCTCAACCCAAGACTTTTTATATCTCACATAGTAAAGCTGTGAGGACTTTAAATCCTGAAGTGCAAATACACAGAATATGAATTCACAGAAATGTGTTTACTCTATGAACGTGAATAATCATGTTTCAGCAACTTCATTTAAAAAAATGGGAAATTTACTGTGTGGTACCACACTGCTCCCACAGGTACGTCCAGGTGATGGATGTAGACCTTAAAACCACATGATTTAAAGCTAAATGGCTCCAGAAGATTAAAGTTCAAGTTAACATGACTTGATTCTAAAAACGTGTTTATTCATTTTAATGTTTATTTCTGAATCACAAATGGAGTGTCAATGAGGCAGCCCTCATCAGAATTTGTCACTGGGCTTAAAAAACATTTTAAACGCATTTCTCTTCCATTTTTCTTGGATTTGATATTTTTTTTAACAGCCTGATTCAACTATCGCCTAAACTCAAAAAAGTAAGCTGACTTGGCTGAAGAGAGAGCTGGAATTCGAAAACCAGATTTTCAGGTCCTAGTAACTCTATCATAGCTGCCTGTGCTTGGGGTCAACTTTCTACAAAAAGAGCGAAGTGAATCAGCACATGCCTGACAAACTTTCTATTTAGAGAAATAGAAAACAAAATGAAGAATATGTGTCAGGAAACCAAAACCAATTTCAAATGTCCTGTAAGATTTCTATTGGGCATATGAATGGCTCCTGGTTTTTTTAATAATAATAAAATACTAAGAAAAAACCATAATTTTAGAGCTATCTGTTAGGCTTTATCCAGGTATGGATTTCATTGTCCTAGCTCACAAATACATACATGACAGCTATTTTAAAGGGCTATTTTCAATGTGTACCTGCTTTATCCTTGCCCTAAACAATAGAGCATATTATAATAGTATTATTCTAAGTTAATTTTCACTACAAATAATATCCATGCTACAGTACTGCTAAGACAAAATCCTCTCATCATGTATTATTCCAGCACAGAAAAATAGACAGACAGACACGTAGATAAACCAGATGACTGATTAATTGATTGACTGATTGATAGAGATAGATGACATTTGTGGGAATGTAACTTCTCATAACCTTGCCTAGGCCATTATCTCCTAAAATTTACCCATTTGATCCAAACACACAGAATAAAAACCATACAGAGAATGGTTAGTGCAAAAGTAATTGCCGTCTTTACCATTACTTTCAATGCAAAAACCGTATTTACTTTTGCGGCAACCTAATAGTTCTCAGGTCCAGCCCTTTCCCTCTGTCTTTCCTTTTGCACCATTTTATCTGTGCTACCACTGAAAACAACAACGATGTTAAACTCTTCCTTTTTACCATTGTTGCTTTCTCTCTTCTTTTATTTAGCACGTTCTTTCCAGCATAAAATATGTGAACAACTGTCTAGGTTCTGTCCTACAGTGCCCAAGGTATTTTACCACTATCATGCTCTAAGAATGTGATACATTAACACAAAGGAAATGGTTAAAACACTGAACTCTCTAAATGCCCCCAGGGCCTGGCCCACTTTTAGCGGACAGGTAAAAGTCAGGCATCATTAACTCCTGCAGCTCCTCTGATGGTAAGTCAACATCCCTGATCCACAGAGGTGCAGGAGAGGGTAGAGTCAGGCACACTTGTCTGCACAAAAGAGTTTTGTTTCTGATCAGTCTTTGAATCTGTGAAGGAAGGAAGATGCCGAGGACCATAAAAAAAAAGTCCTTCAGATCAACTAAGTGAGACGTGGATTTTAGACCTGAAACATTCTGACTACTCTTAGTTCAGGAAAAGCAGAAAAGATTCCAAATGAGTGGAAGAAACAAACAAATATTTTCTCATGTTTTCACTATGACTCCAGGGCACAGAATAAAAATAGCATATATTGTAGAGGGATAATACTTATGAAATGTGGATGTCCTCACTTGGAAAACAGAATGCCCTTCAGTGGAGAATGCTAAGAAAAAGTGCCAAGGGGGGAAGCTTGAATACCTGCTGAATATTGCATTTTAATCGCTTTTTTAAAACATGTGGGTGTCTAGACAAGAAATGGCATTCCCAAGGTAGCTAATGTTAGGTTCTGCCTTTGGAACATATTTACTTCAAAGGTTCTTGTTATTTTAAATAATTTTTATAATGTTAACAGTTTCTTTTCACAAATGTATTGTTACTTGTGTTTCTCCAGTCCCTTGCAGAGGATCTGACAAAATATCATTTTTCTAGGAGAAAATGTTTATCATGATTACTAAGTTTTATTTTAAACAACCTGAACATCAGGATTAAGGAAAAAAGAAGAATCACACTTTCCCCAGTAGTTACGAAATTTTAATTTCCTCTGTCAAACCA